TGTTGGGCACAGAACCGGTGACTGTTTGAATTCATTTGCGCAGTACGTTCATCATGGGCCCCATGTTATCCCGGAACACGTTTATGACATCGGCAGCGTGCGCCACAAAGCACGGCTCGGACCAGAGATTCGGCCTGAGCACTGAACCACCATCGTTGATATCAGCGTTCAAGAGGTCCTCCAGACCCTTCCGGTGTGTGAAGCGTTTGGCAGTTCTTGACATCCGCTCGACTGTTTCACCAGCCCATGAACAAGTCCGTTCTTTTCGAGCATTTTCTTCTGCCAAGCTCATCGAGTGAGCACCGTCCCACACCGCTGGAATGCGCCTACCACCTCTCCTCCCGACGTCTTGATTGACCCTCAAACTTTCAGCCAACTTCTGTGTCACCAAGCAGCGGTGGTACTGTCCGTCGGCCGCGAATGCAGCCACCTTCCCGGGTGGTGTGACGCCAACCACTGACAGCGTCTCACGGACTTGGTTCGCGATGGAGTCGCCGTCGTGGTCCGTCACAACCGGGACTCCTGCAATCCGGCTTTGAATGGGGTGTTCAGCTGGGGCATCAGGCACAACTGTGTTCATGGCTATTATATTCATCGCTCGCCGACGCACCGTGACCTCGTCGGCGAAGACGGCGGCGCGTGGCTGGTTAAGGACGTGAGCCATCATCTTTTGGAGGACGAACTCGCTGAATGCATCCCGCATTTGGGTCATCACCATCGCCGACTGGCTCAAGTTGTTACGTTCACACCGTTGCTGTGATGGAGTGCCGCGAGCTCTTTAAACGTACCTTGGGGCGAGATCTGGCGAGCACATGGTAGCCGAGCCTCAGCACACGAACCGGAACGGCCCCAGCTCGGCCTCACGAGCGGTTTGAGCCGTAGCTCTCTCCTGGATTTCCCTCAACATCTTTTGATGGTGTGCCAGCTGGCGGTGTGTTCTCGTCTCCGCCTTGAGCCATCGGAACTAGGCAGGCGGGTTTTCCGTTGGAGAGAAATCCGTTCCAACGCAAAAATCGCACCGGAATACACCAGGAACAGATTTGAGGGACATGCTGCGATCGGTATCTGTGGCGTAAGCCTTGCAGTAAGGGACGTTTTTCGTCGCGCATGCAACCAGGTGCTCGTCTACAGCAGTTTGCCGGAACGTCATGGGTCTTCCTGGATGGGAGGGCAAACCGATCGCGGCTCTCCGTTCTCCCCATGCATTCTTTTATTCGGCTTCTCTACCACCTGCAGAATTTGGTCCGCAATCTGCCGAACATCTTCCATCTTGTGTTCAACTTCAAACACTCGTGCCATGATGCATGTCTCAACGCACATGCACAGGGTTGTACAGTTGCTGCCGAGGGTGGTCCTCCACAAGCTTTGGAGGATGACACAGTACCAGCTTCTGAAAAGCACGGCCGAGTACCAGCTTCGGGAGAGGATGGCTCATCGCCAGCTGATGATCATGATTATCCTCGCCCGCTTCCAAGCAGAATGGCCCGGGATCAGCTTCTACATTACATCCATCATCTTCTAGTCCAGGCCTCCATGCCAGCAAATTGGGGTGGGTTCTCTGGTTTAGACCTGAAACGGAGCATCCTTACATTATGTTTGGGAATTCAGTTGAAGGTAAGATACCAGCTGTGAACCATGGGAGGACCAATAAGCATCAAGTTGGCGACGGTTTACCTCTACCAACCGACCGATCATTGGTGGACGAGTCAGCTGAGCGGTCGACGAGTCACCGGAGCAGGGGCAAAGTCCCCTCCCCCCGTTACGTTACCAAGAAAAATGTTAGGTTAAGTTGTCAGCTCAATGATTTTATGGTAGGTCGAAGGGCAAATTTTCAAGAAAATCATATTTTTCAGCTTTACAACATCACACATATGAGGCCATACCTTCTGGCGACACGAGAGCGAGTCGGGAGTGTTTCTTGTTTACTTCGAGTATGACTGCGCATATCTCTGTGAGTTTTGAGCATGAATTTACATTATACGGCTTCGTTAATGCAGCAATGTCGGCACGCCGCGCGCATTTCACGGCATCGTCGGCACGCCGCGCGCGCTCCGCGGCATCGTCGGTTGCCGCCCGCCATCCGTCCCGGCCGCAGATCGCTGCGCGGTGTTCCTCAAAAACCGACGCTGCTCCGAAATCAGATGAGATAGACAATTTTTTGCAAAACTCGCGCAATGGATGCCCCATGAGGCGTTGAGAATTTGGGTGCGATTGCACAGCATGCCGGAGATGTGCTATCAAAAGACTTTAGGGTACGCCCGGCTACCAAGGCGAGGGTTAAAGGGAACGTTTCACGCCTGAAGACGCCGAAGCAAGCATCGAATTTGATGAATCAAGCTCACTTATAACTTTTGGAATACTTTTTAAGTGGAAAAGACTGCTCTAGGCAGTAGCAAATATATGTTTAGTAAATACGCCCCCTCAACGCGTCATGATTTGATTACTTCATTGTACTTTGCAAAACATTGATAAAGCGCCAGTTGGACGGTCGTTATATCTGAAAATCGCGCTCACAAACGCCAGATATAAACGCTCCGACAATTATACTTTTCTTGGCTTTGATCGCCCCATGGTTTATGGAATAACAGGATTTAAATGACGTCATTATCTCACCATTAATGCCACGGTGACATTGAAACACGCTCCCCAATATACCTTTCACCATTTTCGCGGGCGCGTAGCTTAGAAACTAGCGGGATGTAAGTATTAAGAAAGGCGGGATTGTGAACAGCATCGAAAGGTCTTCCAGATGGCCATTTCAGTTCAAAACACCACATAAATGTGGAACACTCTCTTTAAACAACGAAATGAACGAATTACGTACGTTGCCCTATTACGGTAGTGACATTATTTGTAATTGAGGTGTTCAGCGAAGGCAAAACCCCTACTGTCACTACATATTGCATAACGCTGTCGTTGTCGTTGTATACCAACGCTGTCATTGCACATTGTATGACGCTTGGCTGCGATTGCGCCCGGTGAGTGGATGTATACTGTGTGTGAATATCATTCTGCCATTATTGTTATGGAATGGTACTGTGTGGGAAAATAAGGCATGGTGTGCTGAAACAGGGGTATACAGATCGTAAAATATCGTGGGTTTTTATCCCTGCATTTTTTTGCTCGCAGGCGTTATCTTCAATCGCAAACGAACAATTGCTTAGCAGCGAGAGAAATTCAACATCACGCCCCGTCTCTAATCATGGATTGCTCAGCAGGCACCCTTGTAGAATTAGGGATGTCTTACCTACATACCTATAACCAGTGACCTTACTTGCCAGCCAAAGCTGCCGCTTGCATCCAGCGCTAAAACTAGAGTTTTTGCAGTCGAACAGGCAGACTGACGTGTTTAACCCTCACGTACCTTTTGAGATTTCTATGCTCGCCATTGAAGCTGCACGCCTCGTAGCCACATCACACATTGTGACGAGAAAAAGCAAACGATTTGTTTCTGGCGACCACAGCAAGTCCACAGAATATGGCCTTTCATCAATTATTTACTCCCCGTCTTCTCGTGAGCACTTTGCAATAACGCACCCGGCTCTATAACAAACTAGCAATGCCCAAGGCCGCAATGGCGCATTTCAAAGCAATAATACACCGCTCTCACAAAGAAAAAGTCATACACCAAGGTCGGAATGACGTCATTAGTTTTGAATGCTTTTTCTACGCCATGTTTTGTTTCAACAGGATCATAACTGTTGATGGTATGTTACTAATTTGTTTTTATAAAAGTAGTTTAGTTAACATTTAGTGTTTGCAAACTGATCTCTACGATTGCATCACGTAATGTAAAGCTCAAACCAGGGACGGTCAAATTTTTACGTTTAAGAGACAGCAAATTGAGGGCAAAGAGCATATTACAAACTTAGCTAAACTTACCCTTTGAACAAACAGGAGACAGCAAGTGCGCCCACAAAGCTCCCACAAGTCTCCCCAAACGGCAAGTTAGATGAAGGTCTAAGCCATTAAAACGCATGTTTCTGCTTATTACTGAAGGTGATGCATATCATCGCACTAGAATTATCGTTTTACAAACTGAATGTCAAATAAAAAGACTGGAAGCAAGAGGGCGTTCTGTAGCTGTTCATGAACACTTCACGTCCAAAAGGAGTTTTTCACGCTCGTGGGCGACTGGACAGTTTTTTAGTTCTGCGCAGCCGAAAAGATCTCCCGTGATTTTTTCGTAACATATGGCTTTCTGCAGAGGTAAATCAGAGGCCTGCATAGTCTGAACGCTATTGAGAGTTTTACTATTTTTCCCTGCAGGGTGTAGAGCTGAATTGACCCCGCATGGGAAAATGGTACACTAGGATGGAAAAATGATACACTAAAATGGGAAAATGGTAAAATGGAAAAATGGTACACTAGGCTTCACATGCCAGTTAGCGTCTACCAAATCCATCTTCAAACAAGGCGGTCATGGTCATATCCACCCACTATCCGTTTTTAGTTAGTCTTACCCATATTGACCAATCCACTTGCCATACGCCTAGGCTTCATCATGATATATCCGTAATTTCATCGGGCAGTAAGAGGGATTTCAACCCGTCTTCTTGTGGTTATCATGTAAATGTCATATGAACGCAGCCCAGCATGATACAACAGCATACACGACAATATCCTGTAATAGGTTTTGAGGAACGTATTGCATAATTCCTTAAGTTCCCATTCGTGCCCTCATTCCTGCAAACCAGAATTCCCAAATCAAACCAAACTCATCATACACAAATGTCCATGATCTAATGCGACCCATGAAACCCAACGCAAGGCACGGTTACAGACTTACGCTGTGTAAAGACCGAGTCTACGTCGCGGCATAAAGACACGCACACACGCAGCTGATACGGAGTCCAGTTTGACGCTGGGAACGGAGATATACTGGCTCTGGCGCTGGGCGAAGGCAACAAACTGCATCCCGGGCGGATTAGCCGCGGCCCGGGGCGGCAGACGGCACTCGCGGCGGGCGCGCGGACGGGTTTTCAACAGGGTCAACCGGCAAGGACGGCTGTGATAGGGCTGCGGTCGGCCTCCACCAGTATAAAAGCCGCTCCCCGCTCCCAAAGGACACCATTCGGACAGCAGACTCAAGATGAAGCTCGTAAGTGGTCGGTCTGGCTCTGCTAATGGCAGACTCTGGTGTCCCGTCAGTGACAGTGCCGTGAATGGGAGCAGTTGGAACAGGCCGAGTGTTTCAAGTCCAGAGTGAGGAGGGCCTGAACCTGCTCGGGGGCAGGATTCTCGTTGCATCGAGTCGCAAGAGCATTTGTTAGGCCTTTTCACTCTTTTTTAGCAAAAGTGCGCCGCGGCGGGAAACGTTGCAGGGTTATGGAAGTTCATGCCATTTTCCGCACGTTTTTCAATTTGTATTGCAGCTGCCAGTGCACGAGCGGTAACATGGCAGTGCATGCTGTTGACGGTCGTTCTGTTTGTGCGCACAGCTGATCGTCCTGTGCCTCGCCGCTGTGGCCCTGGCCCGGCCCCAGGATGAGAGGAACGCCGAGATCATCACCTACGAAAACGAGCTGAGGGAGGACCAGTCCTACGACTTCAAGTACGTTAGCATCTTGGACTAATCAACTTAAGGCTGCTTTTGTTGATTTGATTCTCTTGAGAGGAATTCTTTGTGAGCGGAGCGCTGAATGAATTAACTTGACAGGTTTTCTCCAAGCTCCACGGCACTTATTCGGGACAAGCACTAAAACGAAATTAGAGTCGTAACAAAAGCATCATGGCAGTTGGATTGAGGATTAATCTTACCATAGCATAGCAATTTTACTTCATGGGGCATACTAAGCATAATTGCATTTACACCTCTGAGGTAATAGGCGAGTCCTACAGATCTGAAATGCCGCAATGCATGTAACACTGGATGTTTCCCACCCATAGCCTGGAAACCACCAACGGCATTATCCGCGAGGAGTCCGGCATCTCGTACCCGGGTGCCGAGCCGGAGACCGGCAGCTACACCCAGTCGGGCAGCTTCGAGCACCCCCACCCGGACGGCTCGGTCACCTACCTGACCTTCATCGCCGACGAGAACGGCTACCGGCCCGAGGGTGATGCCATCCCCGTGTTCACCGGACGCGTCGACATCCAGGACGTCTAGAGGAGCCTAGTCCGTGTGCTGTCCACTGAAGGTCATCTGGATGCGGTGGCGGGGAAGGACACCGTCCTCGCCAGCAGCACAACAAAGGCAGGGGTGACACTTGGTCCCCAGAGTCTCTCAGATGGCCATCAGGACGATGGGCAGCGGGAGCCTGCTCTTGCCCTCTGTGCAAGGATTTCTGGTGGGCATTTCATACAACTTGCATTGTGCTATGCCATTATCATTTTTCGTCCCTGTAAGGCCTGTGGACTTTCAGCCTGCTGTCCTTTCGATGGTCGCGATGAACGACTTGGATGGATCGGTATCTTACTTCTTACTACCTTCGCGTTCACAAGTGTGAACAGTGAGCATTTTTCTGTATGCTCCGTTTCTACTTCTCGTTTGTATACACAAAATACAACAGATTGTCTCCTGTACTGCGTCTGACCTAAGGAAACTTTAGAATCTCATCGGGGCAAAGCCACGAAATCCATAATGAGGGGCCGATGAGCGCTTTGTGCAAAAAACCTCAACAGGCCGTGGCGTATTTTGCAACGGGCTCGAATGATAATGGTAACGTTCAGAGCCGTGGGGAGAGGAGAAAGCGTGGGGAGGGTATCACCTCTTCGAGTGACACCTTGCTGCACCTTGACTGACGCCGAGTACTGCATCACCCGTACATGAACATGAACATCGCTTTGGTTGGTTAAATCTTTGGAAAATGTTGGCAGGGGCTAGTTTCTCCACTTCGCTAATACCCTCAAGGGAAGGAAATTATTTCACTGTCAAGGTGCGCGTTGTTAGCATGAAAGCATGCTGTTAGTTGAGAAAGTAACACTATGAACCAACGGACACAGTTGCAAATTAACAGCTGCAAAAACACCCACAAAGCGTGCAAAGGTTCATTGGTGCATGGGCCTCCGGCCAAGCCGGCAAACAGCAAATTCCAACCGGCACCCATGGAATGAAACTCATGCGACTGTCACTGAAATACTGCAGTGACTGTTAGGCACACGCCCGATGCATTCACAGCTCTGCGTATCACACTCTCGCTTTCCGATTAAAAATCAACAAATTTCGTGTTTGAAATATTGGCCTCTAAATGCCCCGAGCTCCGAGAAAACCCGTTTTTTTTCGTAACCAGCGCCAGTTCTCAGATGAGATCATTAAGGGGTAACTTACCAGTTTATTTTTGTTATTTTTACCAGCAATATTTTTTGGCTTAGCTTACTACAGAGATTCCAAAACGCATACCATGAAAATTATATGGGTGCTGTCTCCCGTAGCTGCGCGTTTTGATATAAAGAGTCTGCCATCAGATTTGTCGTTGCACCCCTTGCAATCTATTCTTCGCTCAAGTTGAGCAGTCCTTTCACCATTCTCAATGTCTACAGGATGAATGCAGTGATGAATTGTTTCTGCTCTGGCTCACCCTGTTTGCTCGCGGCGAATGAATGAACCAAAACTAAATTGAATACCGCTGTTTGCCGACTCACAAATAGCGCGTGCGAAAGGTCGTTCTAATTTTTTTTTAAATCGGCGGCAGCGACTGGCCGGTCGAGCCTTGACACTTGACAGTCCGTTGTCGCGAAAAGCGAAGTCGTAGCCCTTTGGTTAAAGGTTAGGTTTGCACGGAATCGTGCACGGAATGGCGAAAAGATGGGCGGTAAATATAGGCGATGAATCGGCGTATGCTGTGACGCTATCTATCGTGAAGACGACAACGATTAAGAAACAGCACATTGCTTTCGACACTGCCATTTCAAATCCTGTCATTCTCGGATTGTCCGATTATGACTGGCGTAACCGTGTGTCGTACAAACTCGTGTTAGCCACGTTAAATGTAGACAGTTTACTGGTCGACGCTTTTCATTTGAATTTACACCTTCACCTTCTCTGGCTGCCATGTTGTGCCACAAACTGAAAGCTGTCGAAAAAGAGTGAACCCATCTGGTCCGTTTCTGTGCTCGTGATACGTAAGACGACGTGACTTCTCATATTTTGACTTCCCATATTTTGCTGAAGGTACCAGTTTTGTGTCGCCACGACCGTTCATTGCCGAGATGTGGCTTTGGTTTCGAACGGCTGCTCGTCTGTTCCCCGCGGGGCCACATTTCCATTTAAAACCAACGGACCTGAAAACAACGGCACTTTCGGGCCATGAACCGCACTTGCTCGCAAGTTACATAAGGAAAATCGCCTCGTGTGTATCCCGTGCAGATTTAAGTGCCGTGTCGCTCGCCGAAGACCTCCAGACGGATCAACGTAAAAAGACGACAAACAGACAGACAGATAGAAAGGCAGATACACAGAGACGCCTTCCTCAGACAGAACATAGACAGGTGTGTACCGTCCGTTTCACCGGGCGAGTTTTGGACTGACGGTTGCTTTGGCACTTCCCAACCAGCCAGTTCATTGTTGCATTTTTATCGCTGGGGACGGTGCTGGGAAACTATCCATCAGGCATAGCGCGCTGAAGCGCCGGCTGCAAAAACTCGTCCCACCACCGACTTAACAATGACGCGTCCACTGCCTGCACGGCCAGATAGCCCACTACGCCGAGGTCAGGGACGATCTGCTGCGCAAATGATCAACTGGTTATTCGGCTGGGAAGAACGAACTAAGGAACATTGGATTGGGATTATGGGTTCAGAGTCCTTATGTTGACAGCTGTCGACCTTCAATATACTTGTGGGTACTGGTCTATCAACGCTATTCAGCAAACATAGGTTATATTTTTAATGTCCAACATTGCAAGAAGTGCATATAATCACGGGTCATGCATATCATGACTCGGGGTTGGGATAAATTTGCGCCAAAAATACACACAAAACGATTCGGGATTAAAAAAGTATCTTTTTTAAAGCCGTAGGGAAATTGGCTTTGTTGCCTGGACTTAAAGAATGGAAAAGCATGGCACACTTTGACAGTGACACTTAACAGTCAATAGCAAAGCTTATTCTGGCACCCAATGTAGACATTTTGGGAAGCAATGTAAGGTAGATTTCATCAAGATAAATCAAACGCCGTTAAAGGGAACATTCCACATCTCTGTAGAGTTTTGAACTGCAATAGTCCCCTTGAAGATCATCATGTGCAGATCACAAGCCTGCTCTTCGTAAGACCTTAACCATTCTAGTTTATGAGCCACACTTACGCAAAAATGTGCAGGCTTTTTTCGGGGATAGATTTCAAGGTCACCAAAACATGACGTTATGATAACGTCATTCAAATGTTGTCATTCCATTTGCCATTCGCCGATCCAGGCCAAGAAAGATATAGGTGTCTAGTCATTTATATATGGCGTTTTTGAGCAATATTATCCAGATACACCGGCCGTCAATTGACTCTCGATCAAACTTGTGCAAGGTACGATTGCGTAATTTAACAATAACGTATTGAAGAGGATATTCACTAAACAGAGAAATCGTGTTGTCTACAGCAGCATTTCTACTTATTGCACCAATATTTATAAGTGAGCCTATTTCATCACATCTGATGCTTACTTCAGCATCTTAACACGCGCCCGGGTGACCGGCTGGAGGCCCTTCGAGTGAGGGGTCAATTTGATGCCCCCTGAGATCTCAGCAACTAAAAAAGCTAGAGACACCAAATTCACAGGGTGTGTTGACCTGTACGCAAGCTCACTTAGATAAGAAATTGAGGTTCCCAGGTTATGACCTTCGGGTCAAACACAGTCAAACAGGGTAGAACTCCAGGGATCCAAAAAGCCCTTAGAACCTAGATAACTGTTCTAAACAAAAGGTCGCATGCTCATCTGAGGTAAAGACCTTGTTTAACCTTTTGAAGATTATAGTGACAAAATCATGCATGACTGCTCTGAGTTTTGCATTTGGATGAGTGACGAAGACTACGCTAGGCAGCATGTTCCTAAAAATAAAATCTTGACTTGGGTTATTCTAGGTCAGTGATCTATTCTGACCTTTAAGAAATCTATGGAAGATGAATAATACGGTTCCCGTTATCAACAAACTCGAAATGAGCGCCGGAAACCATCTCTTACAGCAAGCCTTAGAGTAATAAGAAAGGTTGGTTTTGATCTTGGCCTGATCTTCATACCTGACCCTATGTCAATTTAATTCGTTCCACTCGTTGTGTTGCTTAAGAAAGTATTTCAGAGATGTGTGGCTTCGTCTAACACTCCGTTGTTGGACCAGATTGAATGATTCCCTAGAAATTGCCTTCACTGAAACCATGGTCTGACTTCGACCTGCCATAGGTCAGCGACCAGCCCTCGGGGGTCATTTTGACCACCACCCGATCGCGTGTCAAAATATGGAACATTACCTTTAAGCATTCCATGATCAGCCTCTCATTGATTATTTTCTTTCGTTTGGATCTGAAGCTTATATTTGGTTGCCTGACATGTTTTGTTCGCATGGAAAGCGATTATTTAACACGCGCTTGGGTGGGGAGTCAAACTGACCCCGGACCTCCCCCCCCCCCCCCGCTCAGGTTTCTCTAGAATTATTTCCGAATGGCGCGACGTAACCGCACCAAACTCTGCATGAATGTAGACAATTGAATAGCGGATCTTTCGGTATAAAAATGAAATGCACCTTGAGGATCGTTGACCTGCGGCAGGTCAAAAGCAGGCCTTGGCTGTCAGCGAACCCATTTTTAGAGGACGCGTATGCAATCGCAATCTGCAGACGCAATCTGACGCATTAACGGAGAGTGAGACGAAGCCATACACCTCTGAGATAGCTTTTTAGGCAGCACACTAAATAGTTTCAGAATTACAACAAATTATTTTGCCCTGGGGTCCGGTATAAAGGTCAGATTGAGGTCAAAGCTTTGCTGCTTTTTAATCAACAGCTCGCTTTTTTCCGAGATTTCAGAAGGAGGGAGGTTGAATTCCCCCCCCCCCCCCCCTCTCCCAAGCAGATGGTATTCAACCAGGCAACCGGGCGCACATTAATCAATTCTTATTCCGACGCCTGGTGTCTCATCGTTATTTATGTATTTAGTGCTGCGCATTGCGCATAGAATACTTAAAAGATGAAAACCATTCGCAAATTGCGGATTTATAACCTGGTCGGAAAAAACGGATTATAAATGCTAACCAAAACACAGATAAGGACCTAGAATGGGTTTCCAAATTTACCAGCTATAACGTGTAAAACGGAATGAAAATCAATAAAATTGAAATTACCAGCGAACTGCTCATGCACACACAGCTTACATAGTAGATAATTCATCATTTAAACAGCCTAAAAAGATAAAGTCATTTAATGAGTGACGTGAACGCTGTTTTAAAGAAACAATGTCTTAACTCCTTCCCAGGTAACTTAAGGGCCTAATAATGTATCAATCGGCATTATCACAATATAAGCCCTGTTTGCTCTTATTTTGTCGGCTTTCCTATTCAACTCATCTGGATGAGATAAGAGCATTACCCCTAGTCCTCGGGG